AAAACGAAAGAAAGCACGAGAAGAGATAGAAGAAGGGGCGAAGTTACAAGGGGGCGAATAAATTGAGCGTCTCGTTGGGAAGCGCCTTCGCGATTGTCGCAATTATCTCGACTTGACTCTCCGATTGATCCCTGCCGGACTCGACATGACGTCATTGAGACCGTGCCTGTGGGACCGTCCGTTTCCTCTTAATTCGTTCGTGATGCTCACAGTGATACGCTTAGATTTCCGCAATCTCGCACGTGTCTTCTCCCATTCGATCGGAGATAACTTATCCCTGTGCCCCCCCCCCCTCTCCGCCGCCGTCTATTCTCATCCCCGCGCGGTAAATAACCTTCAGTACAATAAATAAAATTTTCAGAGAACAAGAGTTTTCAAAAGCCGAATACCTTTCCAACTTTTTTGAAATCGCAGCTGCAAATCAAGTAGACAAATACGGAAGCTCTCACTGTTCTTTCAAACTCAATTATTTACAACACGTCGTGGGAACCCAGTTATTACTGTCTTCAAGGCTCACTTTAGATACTTTGTAACTCGTGTCGGAATTCACCATTGTATTAAATATTTACAAAAAGCAAACACTCTTCCGGATTACATCAAACAGTCTAATTAAAAGTATCGGCGTTTTAAAATCGCGTATAACACGCTGCAAGTAAAATTTGTTGAAAATTTGTGTTTTTCATATAAAAAGTATATGCAATGCATATAGTTAAATTCGTCAAAATTTCATACGTTTTATTCAAGATATCCGTTGTCAAATAATTCAATAACTTAATTAATTTTCAATTTTACGTGCGCGCAATAAAACAAAAAGAAATGTATTCAGTTTCATTAGCCGGTTTAGCGTTCGCGATTTATCTTTCACTTTCGCGCGCGAGTATTTTTCATGAAAATTTCGCTCTCGATCGTTAACGCCGCGGCGTTCCACGCCCGCGATTCGATGACGACAGCACTCGGTTGCGTTCGCGAAGGATGCGTTTGCGAGGTCGACGCGGCACAAAGGGCCCATTCACTAATAAATACAATTAGCGCGTCGCCGCGCGGTATCGAGATTATTCAGTTGCGCCAGCCATTCCCGACATTCCCGTTAGATTAATCCCGATCGGCCGTCGCATCAGGAACCAATCGCGGCGATCCGATTAATTCCGCGCTGATTCAGCCGCGTGCGCGCGCCCCTGCGCGCGTACGCGATGACGCACCCAGGAAACGCGACTTTTATCCGCGACGCTCGCGTATATACTTTTCGCGAGGCGGAACGTCATCGTCGGGAGACGCGGTGAAAATTTTAATAAGCGAAGGACATACATGGCGAACACGGCCATACATTATTCACGATCGCTGCGCTCTCGCGCACGTTCGATACAACCGCGGACAATTCCCGTGAAAACGTGCCTGATCCCCTTCGGAATACGAAACGTACGGGACGTCCCCGACCGATTGCAACTTTTTCTCCAACAATGGATACCGGGACCGACGGGAATTGTTTGCAGAAGATATCGAAATTTCACGCGAGAGGCATGGCAATGAATTACTTCGGAAGAAGCTTATCTTTTACAAAAATTCCTTTCGGTGGAAGAATTAAATTTTTCTACGAAACACGCGTCTACCAACGAAGATAAACTGCACAGACGATGCTTACGGCGACTATCGCCCTTATTCTCTCACGCTTTCGCGACGAAGCTTTCCTATTCGAGATAATTCAAAGACTCGAATGCGATTCGTCCTCTTGATACTAGAATATTACCACGCTATGCATTGGAACTCTCTGTTATACGAAAATCATATCTCACGGTCGATAATAATTGTCTTGCGTTCTATTTAAAACGTCTACTCGTCTCTCCCAGCGCTTTTCCTTCTTGCAATAAGGTGGGGAAACGATTTATTCGTTTTCTATGCGGTTTATAGTAGACGTGAGACGAGTGCGAACCTACGCAGACGGCAGGGCACGCATAGCGTAGACAAAGCACGTAGACTAATTTTAAAGTCTGCGAGCAAGCTTGCTTACATATCGCATATTTCGACCGGTCACATCAAAGCACCGTCGGCGTTCCTCAACGCCAACGTGATACAGTGGTTATTTTTAATTCTTTCTCATACTCCTTCG